TTACAACTACCAACATTTATCAAAGTTCATAGAGTCTCTGGAAGCATGTTATTTAGGAAGTGGATGCCACTCTCTGGCTTCCAAACCTATCAGCCCATATTGAGTATCCCCTTCAAGTCCCCTAAATACAATGAATGATTACATGTTGATTTGCTTGAACTGTTGTTTTCATGGCAACCTACATTGAACATGTCTTTAAAACACTGACTATATTTTCATTGCAGTGACAAGAATTTCTTGACTGAAACACTGGTTCTCTATCCATTCCAGGACACCAGTGGTTCTTGAACTTTAATGTATATCAGAATTACATGGAGGTAATGGAAACAAGAATCACAGAGCAGAAGTAAGAAGAACTTAGTTACAACATGAATATTGGAATGGATGTCATAAAACAAAAAGTAGATGAATGGTGGAATGGGAAATCCATGTGCTCCAGAAACTTCCACTCAAATCACAATTTAAAAAAAAAAAAGAGGGGTGCTATAAAAAAAAAATTCAAGTGGAGGGCTTACAAGAACAAATTGCTGGGCTTACTTTTACAGTTTCTGACTAAATAGCTCTAGGGTACAAGCACTAGCATTGGTTGACTCCGAGTTCACCTGGCCTCACAGAGACCCCATGTATGTCGCAGCAGAACTTTGCTCCATTGAGTTTTCAGTGACTAATGTTCCTAAAGTACAGTGACTAGGCCTGCTTCCAGTGTGCCTCTTGGTAAACTTGAACTTCCAACCTTTTCGTTAGCGGCCAGTATCTGTTTGCACCATGTAAGGACAGATCAGGAGTGGTGGTGTTAGTTGCCATTGAGTCAGAACCAATGCAGAGCTGACCATCCAGTGGGCTTTCAGAGGTTGTAAAACACATGAGAGGAGACTTCCCATCTTCTTTTGGTGGAACAGCTGGGAATTTGAACCACACACCTTAGAGCTGGTAGTGCAACCCTTTACCTCTATGCCACAAGAGCCTGAGAATCTGAATTTATAACAAATGCCCAGATTTGTGCTAATGCTGCTGGCCCCAGGACCGCCATATAAGGACCACAGCAGTATAAGCATATCTTTGCTTTGTTGTACTTCGCAGATATTACATTTTTCACAAATTGAAGGTTTGTGGAAATTTAGAATTGGGCAAGTCTATCAGTTCCATTTTTCCAACAGCATATTCTTACTTCATATCTCTGCATCACATTTTGGCAATTTTCACAATCTTTAAGACTTTTTCATAATACTATTGCACGTTATTATGAAATACTATTTATTTCATAATACTACCGCATACTATTACACACTAACACTATTGCACAATAAGAAGATGTGCTGCATTGGGAATATCTGCTGTCAAGGATCTCTCCACAGCACTAAAGAGTAACAATGTCCGTTTAAAGGCTAAGGTGCCAGGCCATGATCTAGGCTCTGGTCTTTTCAGTTCCTCAGTACACACTTGAAAGTGGGGAAATTAGTAAGGAAAACAGAAGAATAATCAATGCCTTTGAGTTGTGGTGTTGGAGCTGAGCAAAGAATATCCCATTGACTGCCAAAAGAACAAGCAAATCTGCCTTAGAGGAAGAAACTGCAACCACAGTGCTCCTTTGAGACAAGAATGGTGAAACGTCATCTCACATACTTTGGGGATGTTGTTAGAAGAGAACATTCCTTGGAAAGGGCCATCATGCTTGGAAAAGAAGAAGAACAACAACAAAAGAAGAAGACCCTAGATGAGATGGATTGATACAATGACCCTATCCGGGGGGGTCAAGGATACCAGAGATGAGGAGGATAGCACAGGATAGGGCAAGGTCCAGATATGTTGTTACAGGGTTGCTATGAGTCATAATCTACTTGACAGCACCTAACAACAACAAAAGCACCACTCACTTCATAGACAACTCAAAGCACAAACTACACTCACCACCATGAAGTCAGTTCTGACTTAGAGACCTTCCATTGGGATGAGACTGCCCATCTTTCTCTCCAGGAGCAACTGATGGTTTTGAACTGCTGACCTTTTGATTAGCAGTTTGGTATGTTACACACTATGCCATCAGAGCTCCTTTAATAGGTTACTTCCTCTTGATTACTGGGTCGAAGCTGATTTATAGGTGATTCTCCAGCAGGGTTGTGGAGGCTCTAAATCACATGGAAGGAAATGTCTATATTACTCCTTTGGAGAATTTGGTGCATTTGAACCACCAGACAGGCTCAGCCTTTGGGTTAGCAGCCTTTGTAGTTCGTGGACTATACCACCAGAGTTCCCTTAGTGTAAGCATAATTTTATATACACTGGGAAACCAGAAAGTTCATATGACTTGGCTTTATTGTGCTATTTGCTCTATCTTGATGGTCTTGAACAGAACTTACAGCATCTCCAAGGTACACTTGTTGTTTTGGTTTTGTTGTTGTTGTTGTTGTACACCACTGAGTCGACTGTGACGCATACTGTCCCTATGAACAATAGCTCTGAACCCTGCCGTAAGCTGAGCCAATCTCACTGTCTCTGATACACCTTCCTCTATCATTCCAGTTACTGTGTCAATCCATCTCACCCAGAGTCTATCTCTTCTGTGCTGTCTCTCCATCCAACACAAGCAGGATGCCCTTTTCCAAAGACTGGTCCCTCATGGCAACCTGTCCAAAATATATCACAAGGAGCCTCAAAATCCTTGCCTCCAAGGAGCAACTTGGTTTCACCATCTCCAAAGCAGACATGTTTGTTCTCTTAGTGATCGTTGTATGTTCCATACTCTTCTCCAGCACCACAACTCAAAGGCACTGACTCTTCTGTCACCCTTAGACACTGTCCAGCTCTCTGATGCATATAGCAAGTATTTGCAAAGACCATGGCCTGGAGCACGTGTACCTGAGTCTCTAGACTGACATCATTCCTCTTTAGCACTCTAGAGAGGTCCCTGACAGTAGATTTTCCCAGTGCAACTCGGTTTTGGATTCCTGACTGCTGGTGCCAAGAGTGTTGATTGTGGAACCAAGCAAGCTGAAATTGTTAACAATCTCAATCTCTTCTCCATCTATCATGGTGCTGCCAATTGGCCTAGTGGTGATAAACTTTGTTTTCTTGGTTTCTTGTATTCCTGTATGATATACCTGATCAATTAAACAGATCCCCAAAGAGACTGGTCTTTAAACTCTGAATACGTCTTTCCTCCTACTCATATAAAAGCCTACAAGCAAGAGGAAAAAAATGTAGCTGAAATGATTGGAGCTGCAGAAGTGATTCACAGTTTCCTGTAGTCCCGTGCCAGAAGTCCTAAGTTTGGCCACATCTAACCATGTGAGCTGTTCTTTCTCAAGATGGAGGTGCTAAGTCTGATGGAAAATAGAGGCCTCACCCTAAACTAAAGGAGGAACATTCTCTTTCAGAGAAAGCTTCATTCAGAGAGAACCCAGATTGCGTTTAAGAAAAGCTAAGGGGCCAATACTGTCACAGATTTCAGATTAAGACACTCTGTGTTGCTGGTTGATAGTGCATGGTCTTGAAACACACAGAACAGGATGGCGTCTTGGTCCAGCTCCTTGGCATATGCATTAATAACCGTGGGCTGGCTACTGCGTAAGCATCAGTTTCTTCATATGTACAATATGAGGACAATACTAACTCTTATTATTTTTATTTGGCTTGATGAAAAGATTACTCTTATGCTGAAGGTTAGCACAGCCCAAGAGAAGAGGTGTTTTATTACTAATGGCAAAGGAACTTCAGCTAATTATAATCAAGAATTTATTCAATGTGATCAGTACTGCGCTAAGTGCTTTATGTGGATACACCCACAGCCACTGAGTCTGTTCTGAATCATAGCAACTTTCCATTGGATTACTGAGGTTGTAAATCTTTACAGGAAGAAGCTGCCCATCATTCCCCCTCAGAGCAGCTGGCAAAGTCAAACTGCTGACCTTTCGATTCACAGCACACACATGATGCACTAGGCCACCGGAGCTCCTCAGCCTCAGCTTTACATGAAGAATTTCATTTAACTCTCACAATAAACTTCATTATTTCATTATATTTTTAAATGGAAAAAGTTGAATTCATTTAATTCTCACAACAAATTAAATATTTCAACTAATTCTCACAACTTCTATTTTGCAAAAAAAAAAGACTGCTGTACAGAGAACTCATGGTTGCTGTGATGCTGAACACCGTGACACTGATGTGTCAAATGTGATAATGGTTACCCACGGTGGACAGTGTTTGGTGGAGTTCCCCGATTCAAACAAACTTATAAGCAGGAGTGGCATCCACTTCTGAAATGGCTTGCCTCCCGAAACTCTATGAACAGTGCTGAGGTCTTTCGTTCATCCTCTATGACTCCACAACATTTAACAACAGCAACAACAGACACAAAGTGGCTAATAAACATTTTCCAAATCATGTAACTTGATATTGATTTTGAACCCAAGCAATCTGAGTCTTGAAACATTATTCTTCACCCTCAAGGTAAGCTTCTAAGAGGCTAAAGTAAGTGCAGTTCACCTACCATTTGCTTAGGCAGTAGGGCTAGGAAGGTGAAAAGATGAAAGGGTATATGATTTAAGTGGGAAACTTCAGTCCTTCTCCTTAACCAACCTGTCTGGACCCTCTTTCTCCTATGCTGCTCTCTTCTAAACAAACATGTTAAGACAAACAATAACTAGATGTGACAGAGTTGATTATTAGGAGAAGTAGGGAAAATAAAAGGCCACGGATAACACACAAACGAATTCATTCCAAAGATGCCAAGAATGAAGAGCATCAACTCTTTAAAAAAAGGGAGTGTGATGGAAGGTAAAATCTTGGCAAGTAAGTCCTACATGGGTTTATCTGGACACCAAAATGAACAAAAGAGTTGCAGATTAAATTTCATTTTTATACCTAATTAAAAATACATGATAGTTAACCAAAGTAGAAATATTACTTCTTGGACTATTAGTTAGTAGCTGATGTTGGAATTTTCTTAATTCCTCCAAATGTTTCTATCATCCACGGGAACCCAAAGGCTTGTCCATTACCTGATTTTCCAACAGGGCAGGGATTTGGAGGGTCTGGGTAGCCCTGATCCTCACTAAAATCCTTAGGGACGTTGTCACCAGTCAACTCTGCCACAATATTGGGAATGTTGCCAAAAGGACCCAAGTGTTGCAGACCTTCATGGGCTCCACCTGCCAAGAAATTAGAAATAGTTCATGTCAGTCAAATTAAACTCTGTTAATATTTAGTCAAGAAAATGACATTTAAAGACATCCCACTCTGTGATGTAGAGAAAGAAAAAGGAACAGACTCTACTGTCCATAAATAATTTTGACACAAGGTAAGTTGTATACAGGCTATTATAGGCAGTGTAATATGGCGAGGTATAGGACTGGGAGTCGAAGAATGAGAGAGTTGCTGATGAGAGGGATCCTACACGAATAGGAACTTCATTAGACCATTTACAACTGACAGACTGAGAAGCTGGGAATGGGAAAGAGAGATTAACGGCCTCTCTCACAAAAGTAGAGTCGAAAACAAAAGTTTACCAGCAAAAGTAGAGAAAACAATTCATCCATCACCTCTGTATTCTAGCTTGACCCCTTAACATTTGGTGCATTTCTTTATTTTTTCTTCTTTTTTGCATATACATTTTTTATTCTCTTTTGTTTATTTAACATTAATACATTAGCATCTTTCCATGTGGTTGCATGTTCTTTGTTCCCATAATTATAAGTGGCTATGCAGTTTTCTATCCAGTAGGTTTTATATCATTTTTTAAAAAATACATGACATCTTAACCAGTCTCCTATTGTGGGACATTTAATGTTTCCCAACTTACTCTAAGGCATTTAATTTTTTCCATATTTTGAATTAATTTACCTCAGGATGGATTCCCAGAAGTCAAATTATTGAGTCAAATGCTATAAACATTTTTATAGCTCTTAATATTATATTGCCAAATTGCTTTCCAAAAGAGTCTGTACCAATTTATAAAATTTCAACAACAAAATATGAGAATACCACTTTTACAACATCTTCACCAGCACTGGGTTTTGTTTAAAAGTTTAATATTTTCTTTGTGAATTTAAAAGGCTTTAAAAATTAATTTTATTTTGTACATCTCTGATTACTAGTATGGTGAAATAATTTTTATGTACTAGTTTTAATTTCTTTTTCGTGAATTGTCTTTACTCTTTCAGAATTTCAGCGTTTCTCTTATCAATTTAAAAGAACACTTAAAGTAATAAAGATATCAGGCCTTTTGCTGTTACATTTTCTGCCAACATTTTTCCATGTTGCCTGACTCTGCATTCTGGTTATTGTTATATTTTGCTAACATAAGTTTTTAATATTTATGTAGTCCAATTTGTTGTTATTTGCCTTTGTGATTTCTTCTCATCCTTCTTAGCTTTCAAAGTTGTTTTCCCTCCAGAAGTACAATCAACGGTTGGATGTTTTAGTTCTTATTTTTCAGATTATCTCTTTAAACCATATGGTCTTTGTTTTGTTGTTGGTAAGTGCTGTCATGTCAACTTCAACTCATGACAGCCTTATGTACAAGAGAACAAAATATTGCCAGTTTTATGTCTTCCTATCAAAGCTCCTCATATCATGCAGCTATTGTGGCAACTGGTCTCTGCAAGGGTCTCCCTTATCTCACTAACTGCACACTACTACACCAAATGTTATATCCTCTTCTTGTAAATGATCCTCCTGATACAAGTTGCACAATGCTTTGCCGTGACCCAGGAGATTTTCGTTAGCTAATTTCTGGAAGTAACTCGAATCTAGCCACCAGAGAGGTGAATCCTTTTTGTATCTGAAATACTGATGGCAAAGCTTCCAGCATCACAGCAGTAGACAGGCCAACAGACTAGAAAAGCAGGCAGATCAGTAAGGACTGTTTTTTTTTGTTGTTGTTGTTGTTATTAAGTGTCATTGAGTCAGACACAACTCACAGCTGACCCTCCAGCATGTTTTAACTGGCAATAAACCACATGGTTGGGGATGATCTATCTTTCTCAGAGCAGCTGGAGGATTCAAACTATATGCCTTTGGATTGGCAGCACAACTCCTTACCACTAAGCCATCAGAGCTCCCTGGTGACTATTTTGTGGCTGTTGTGTGGAGCAGACACACAGCTGACCCTCTCATGGATTTTTAAAGGCCAGCAAATTGCAGATTACCTATTCTTCTTCCACAGAGCAGCTGGTTGATTTGAACTGTGTCCCTGGTGGCTATTTTAGTATATATGAAACCACTAAATAATTATCACACTATCATTTGTTAAATCATTCTACTCCACTTATTTATCTTCTTTAATACTTATTTAAGTCACTCATGCATACTAAAAAACTTTTCTGAGCACCAAGGTGCAGCAGATAAAAAGAACGACTTAACAAGTGTAACTTCCTTTACTTGAATATTGAGTTGGAACCAGCTCATAGCTGACCCTCCAGTGGGTTTTCAGAAGGCAGTATCTTGCCCAAGAGAGGCTTGCCCATCTTTGTTCTGCAGAGCAGTTGGTGGATTCGAACCACCTGCCATTGAGTTGGCAGCACAACTCCGTATTACTAAGCCACCAGAACAAATGCACATTAGTCCCTAGAAATTTAGAATTTTTAAATTTTTCTAAATCTTTAAAATTTAGAAATTTTACTTTTTTGTTTCTTGGAACAGACGCATATTTATCAGTTCCACATGGTTTGACGCCACTAGCTGCTCTGAGGGAGAAAGATGGGCAATCTCCTCTGGTGCAATTTACTGCCTCTGAAAATCTGCTGGAGGGCCAGCTATGAATCAGCTATGATTGCACAATATGTAACAACAAGAACATTAAGGCACAGTGGTCTTAACCTCACATCCCCCTTAATGCACAGTCCCCCTGCTTGTGCACCTATGAACAGGAGGCCAAATCAAAGTAAAAAATATATTATGCATAAGAAATCAGATCCAAATCAGGCAAAAAAGATTTCATGCTATTATGTCCATGAAAAAGATTATCTTTCTGTAAAAAGAGCAAGGGCCACATGAGGAGTGCCATATCTGATAGTGATCAGTTTCACAGGATGAAACTATACCTGCTCACAGCATCAATAACACGAAACCAATTCCCATGAGGTCAGACATATACCCCATGCCTCTTTCTGCTCATCTCAACACCAATCTTATTGCTTTGTTGGATCCAAAATCTGATGTGATAGTTCACAGACCACACAGAAACCATACTGGGAGAGTCAAAAGATTATAATTCAGATTAGTAAGAGAATATAGTCAAGACAGTTCCCAAAATATGCACACTGGCACCTCAGCCTCAAGCTTCATGGCATTCCCAAGTTCTCAGGCCTGCCAATCAGTCCAGCCAATATTGGCTCTCCACCTAATAGTCCAACAAAGTTCTCAGTCCTGCCACTATTGGCTTCCCTCACCTCAAAGTCCCATCTCAGACCAATTCACCAGTTCAGCCCCACTGCTGCTGTTGTCCCAAAGCATATCCTACTTTTAACTGGGTCAAGGGATGTCTCTCTTCTCTGCATGGGGAAAGAATTCTCTCTTCTGGCAGAGAAAAATCTCCGCAGGTAGAGTTCTTCAATTTATTGGCAAGCCTAGCCAATCCTCTTGTAGATTTTTGAAGATGGCAAATTACCTTGTGGAAGAGTAGGTTTCAATCACTTGGTGGATTAAGCTAACATGCCCCATTTGCGTAGTCCCACTCACCCACATGGGTCAGTTATCCACATTTGAATGCTAGCAAAGCCATATTCAAAGACAAACTCTATACTTTTCAATGTTGCTCCTCTTGTGTGCCTGAAAATTGATGTCTGACTCATTACAACCTTATGTGACAGAGTATGAAATCCCCATAGTGCTTTCTAGGCTGTAATCTTTATGTCAAGAAGACAGATGAATCAAATCTCCTAGATTTTGGTTAGAAGTCAAACGCTTAACCATGGCACCATCAGAGCTCCTTGGACTTGTCAATAACCAAAATCTACTGCTGCTGCATAGATTAACTCAGCAACCCTCCATCCATCTTCTGAGGTGGTAAATCTTTATGAAAAGAGACCATTCTCTTAAATGGAAAAAAAAAAAAAAAAAGAAAGAAAAGAGACCATTTGTCTTTCTGTGGTTGCTTCCAGAGACCTTCAGGAAGGTTGATGAAATAAACAGCAGTAATGGTTTGCTTAGGCATTATAATAAGTTAACTGCAACAACTAATGGTAATTATTACCTATGAATGATTATCTGTAAAAAAAACTAATGATATTTGTAAACTTTCACTCAAATAAGACAGATTTTTGAAAAAAGCAAGCAAAGCCATTCTGGAGATTCACAGTATCCCACATGAACTCAAGATTGTGCGAGGCAAGACAAGCTTATCAATACAATTGGTATTGATTTTTTTTTTTTAAATAGAATGCTCCACGAGTTCGTATGTCATCCATGCAAAGGGGCCATGCTAATCTTTTCTGTCCTGTTCCAATATAGTATATGTGCTGCTGAAGCAAGCAATAGTATTGATATTTTTAAGCCTTGCACAATCTTGGCACTACAGCCACCACTGTGCTTGCTATAGGGCATACTCTCTGGAGTATCAATACATTCCTCCACTTTTGAAATTTGTGCCAGGAATTATGCAACTTGGCTAAAAGGAGAGTACTTGTATTAATTTTCCATTAGTAATTAATAAAGGAAGCAAACACAGTTTCCCTTACAGAACCCTGCCAAGGCTCTATTTACCTCTGTGCCCCAGTGCTATGAAACTGAATGCAACACTTGTTAGGAAGCAACAGATGTTAAACACAGGTTCCTTTAAAACTTCTTTCAATAACATCAAATTAAGAAACACTCACTGAGCTAGGGACTGTGAAAAACAGGTAGAAACAAAGAAGAATGTGATCTTTATTTTTCCAGGAGTTTGCATTGTATATTATTAGGTACCATCATGTTAACTGTGATTTACAGCAGCCCAGTGTACAACAGAACAAAATTATGCCCAATCCTAAGGCAGCCTCAGTGTTTTCTGTGCCTAAGCTCATCATTGCAGTCACTATGTAAATCCATAGTGCCAATGGTCTTGCTCTCTTTCACTGATCCTTTACTTTTCCAATAATGATGTCCTTCTCCAGAGTCTAGCCTCTTCTGATACCATCTCCTAAGTGTGTGAGAAAAAGTCTCAAAACCCTTG